CCTGCATCAGTAGAGAGGGGTGAGCGTCCGATAGTCCGCGAATTTGAGTCGTAAAGCGGTTCACAAAATGGGAGAGGGGCTCGTCCTCCCTCTGGTTGAGCCCGAGGAGTAGTGCTACGGATGGTTTCGATCGAGCGTAAGCCAGAAAACTGAGCTCGAAGTCTCTGGCGAGTTGGTCGAAGGAGGCGATGGTCCCAGCCTTCAGTCCGCTGTACCACGCGCGGGCTGGACCCCGTAGGGTCGTCGGGAACGCCCTGCACATCAAAGCGTCAGAGGTTCCGTATAGCGCCATTTGGGCGCGAAATGTGGCCAGGTGGTCCGCTGGGTCGGCGGCGCTGTCATATGCGTCCAGCGAGGGCAGGCGGAAGTGTGACGGGATCGCCTGATCTTGGATCTCGGGAGTGAACGGGGATCCTTGCTGTCTGTCCACTCCGTGATCTCCCTTGGACTTACGGAACTCCTGTTGTACTTCGTCAAGCCTTTGATTGACGAGGCGCAGCTGGGCTCGTAGGGCATTTGTGGAATCGGCGGACGGAGCCTCGCGCTCGGGGCGGCTCGCCGTATCTTCCGCCTCCCGGCTCCCGGGCCGAGCCATCGGGATCTGGGGTGAGCCAGGGGGCTCGGAGAGGGGCATGTGAGCTCGGATGAGGGTTTCCTGTTGCTGTGAAGGGTGAGCCACGCGCGGAGGGGTTCGCTGTGAGATAATCGGGATGATGGTCTGCACCATGCTCGTCAGGGCTCGGACTTGGTGAGTGAGGTCGTGAAAGGCCTCTGGAGATACTGACGACGGGTCGGTGGGGGCACCGTTGGGAGGTGACAAACCTGGGTCATTGAACAATCGCCAGTAACGCTCTGACGCCGCTGCGGGGTGTTCGTCGCGGGCTTCATCGTGCGGGGGGTGTTCCCCCGGGGTAGGAAGCCCAACGGCTGGGGGCTCGCCAAAGTGGATTCGCTGACCGTTTGACATTCGGAGGCCCTCCTTCTAGCGCCAATCTGTTACGGTGAGTAACCTTCTTAGCCGTGACCTGGGGGTCGACGCGGCTGGTTCAGGGGTCCGAACGACTAGGATCAGGAGAGACCGCAAGATTCGGGATCTCGGGGCGGTCGATCACGAGGAATAAGGCTGGGATGCTCCGCGGCGTCGGATTGGATCGGCTTCAACCTCGTACCTGCACAAAGGTCGGGTCGGCGGTTCGGCCCGACCCCTCCGACGGTCAAGTTAGTGTTGTAGAGAGGAGTTTTCTGGGGGAAAATTGTGTGCTTGTCCGCTTACCTTGCCCGCTTGAAGTCCGAGGGTACTTATAGGTGGGTTCGATGTTACCTGTCACGCCATCTTACTGGGTCAGGGCCGTGCGCCTGACCCCGCCTGTTGTTGAAATGGGCGTTGCGTGGATGGTCGAGTTGAATCGCCGTAGGGTATGGCGAGCCTTAGTCGGCGCCTTCTCCTGCTACGTCCGGGCGTGCGTGGCCTGGGTATGGAGCGAGGGTGCGCGTCATGCTGACATTAATGTTCGTCTGCTGGGGCAGTGTGCCGTCCGGTCGAGGCTGACAGCGGGCGATGTTATGTCAAATCCGATATGTTGCGCCCTATTTGTTTTTACCCCTATCAAAAGACATCAAAGCACCTACGGCAAGCAATGCAATCTGAATTATGTGAGTCTTCAGGTTTACTAGTATTATGATAAATATTGATAAAAAAATAACGTAATTAACGAATCGGTTCGGGTCAATATAGCCTGGTTCGAATAACCGGCTCACTCGAACCCGCTATAGCGCCTGAGTGGCCTCTATGCGGATCGACGTAGCTCCCCGTTCGTTGGAATCGGATCCGATGTCCAACACTTCGGACTCCGCGTGTCTTTGCTTTCTGTGGTCACAAGTACCGTTCCTTTGGCGGCGACCAGCAAGAGAGAGGGGGAGCAGCAGCCATGAATCTTATGGGGAAGCGCAAGAGGTCCAAATCCGATCCCTTCCCCGCTTCTCTTTCCAAGCGCCTTCGACGGCAATTGCAGCCCGATACGTCGGAGGGAGATCCCGCCGCCGCCGCTGCCCCCGCATCGTCCTCGCCCTCCCTCGTCATGGTCTCCGAACTCCCCGCCGACTGCACCGTCCTCGAGCTGAAGTCCCGCCTCGAAATGTTCGGTCCCATCTCCCGCACCCGCATCGACGTCGATGGCCGTGGGTACGTCACCTTCCGCTCCGACCACGCCGCTGAGGCCGCCGTTGCCGCCTCCCTCGATCCCACCTTCGGCCTCTCCGTCCGGTCCAAAAAGGTGCCTCCTTTACCTTCCTCTATTGTGCTTTCCATTTCCCTGTGGACATTGCTTTGTGGTTTTAGCTCTCTACCAACATTGACGGGAAGGCTTTAATGGTATCATGAACATGTCAAAGCTGTCGCCCATTTGTGCTCTTCTAATATATTATTTTGATTTAATTACTTGCAAATTGCTGATACCCTATTTACTAGATTTATACTCTTCAAAGAACTCATCAGGGGGACAGTTAAGCGTGGCGTTGATTCCATGATGGAAGATCAAAGAAATTATCCGTGCAAGAGAACAGGCTGATCAAATTTTGTATTAGATGGGGATAACTGGCTAAATTGGATGTTAAGGTGTGGCTTAGGGTTCAGAAGTAGATTGCATGTTTAGGAATTTGCTGCCAACAAGAGGGGTCAGTTCAGTAGCTATGATACCAATCTTATGCATGACAGGTTTTATGTGCCTGCAATGTGTATTAATTGTCTGCAAAATGACATCTAAGCTCTTATCCTTGCTGCTTTTTCTAGCAGAAACAGAGCAGTGATACCAAAGTGGTGTAGATCTTCATTTTAGCCTCAGACTACAAACTGAATTAATGAATATACTATGCAGAAAGTTCCTGATCTGCAATACTGTTCTATCTAACAGTGAAAAAAATCATGGTTGACACTTGGTGTTTTAGCATCTAATGTTTAGGCCAAAGCTGCCCTGAACAAGATTGGTCGGCACCAGCCATCTTTCTCTTTTGCTAGTCAATCCTAAATTACCAATAAAGACACTCAACAGTAAAAACCTCTAAAGTGCACATCTACATATATTAAACATGTAAAATTCACCTCAAGAATTCCATAAAGTTGAATTAAATGCCATTATCTTTTAAGCATTTTCATTTAATTCCTTCTGACTAACTCAAGATAGTCCAACGCACTCTACAATCATTTACAGCTCCATTACAAAAAAATTGCCTAAATCCAAAACTTATTTGAATTTGGAACCTAGAATGCAACTGGAGATCCAAGAACAAACAAGATCATGAATCAAATTATTTTTTTAATTTATTTCATTTTGTACATTTGCTAGGGCATTGATGCTAGTATTGCCCAGGATCCTTTGAAGGTTTACTAACCTCCTGTAGAGTTTTTTGCCCTCACTAGTTAATCTACACTCTTTTTATTTTTCATAGTTGCTGAATCTTAGCATGTTATTAACATTGCGACTATTTAGAATTGATGTAATTCCATATTGTGTGGATACATATATTATTTCTAAATCCTAATTAAATCCACATGGTTTCTTAACATTAGGCTTTCAATCATAGGTCAAGGTGTTAGGATCAAGAGTGGCACTAAGAGGTGGGGGGGGTGAATTAGTGCAGCGAAAAACTTTCGCTATTTCAAAAAACTTATTTCGATTAAAACCGATTCCAAAGAGAATGGTTTCAATTCAATTCGTTTCAGAAAGAATTTGAACTTGAAACCTTTCGTGAAATTGCAAGAGAAGACTAAGGTGATTAGCAGCAATATAATTTGCACAAATGAAAAGCGTCGGTTTTGTAAAGTCTTCGTACGATTGAAGTCGATCTCGGAAGATGTTTACGTGAAAGCGTATGTAGACGTAGTTAAAGCACAGTAAGGAGGAGAGGCAGTTTGCTATAAAAGAAAGTTGCTCAAAGTAAATGCAAACCGAGTTTTTGAGTGGTTCGGTCAACGTGACCTACATCCACTTTCGGCTTCCTCCTCCGACGAGGTCACCGACGTCCATTAGAGGTCTTCCTTCAATAGGCGAAAGCCAACCACCTTTTACAGCTTTTCTCCTTTTGCCGGGTTTAGGAGACAACCCTTACAAGTTTCACTCCTCTTTCTTGGATGGTTACAAGGCTAAGAGATGAAGGAGGAGAACTCTAACTTTTACAACACTTTAAGGCTCAAGAACTCAAGATTTGCCAGCAGGTTTCGTGCCCTTTCATGCAGGAAAGGGTGGGGTTTTTATAGGCCCCAATGACTTCATAAATGGAGCCAAAAAGTGTCTAATCCCGGATTTACGGGGTCCTAGCGGTACCACCATCATTACTGGGTGGTACTACCGCCTGACACCTAACACTGGGCGGTACTACTGCTCAGTCTGGGCGGTACCACCACCTGACAGAGCTCGGAGACCGAGCTCTGGCGGTACCACCGCTTGACAAGGGCGGTACCATCGCTGGCAGCAATAACTACCGGCGGTACTACCGCCTGACAGGGGCGGTACTACCGCCTGAAAGGGGCGGTACCAGTGATTGCAAAAGGCGCTCGGGCGCTCGCCTAGGCGCTCGGGCGAGGCGAGGCGAGGCCCGAGCGCCTCGCTAATGTCCTAGGCGGCGCACTTCAAACAGGCGCCGCCTGGGCGCTCGCCCGAGCCCAGGCGCTGGGCGCTTCGGGCGAGCGCCTGGGTAAACCAAGGCGACCGAACCTGAATTTTAGGTCTGGTTCGGTCCTGGTTCGGTTGTTAGTTAGTTCAATCGAACCAACTAAACCGATATAACCCCAACCCTAACCCTAACCCTAACCCAACACTAACCTGCTGTCGTTGCCGCTCTCGATCCCGATCCCGATCCCGATCGTGATCTCGTCGCTCGCTGCCGCTGCTCCCGCTGCTGCTGCTCGCCGCTGTCGCTGCTCGCGCCTCCCGCGAGCCCTCCCGCGAGCCTTCNCGCTGTTCGCACCTCCCGCG